AGAGGTTGAGAGACAGAGGCTGAGAGACTCAGAAAGAGAGAGAGAGTGAGAGAGACTGGGGGAAAGGCAGAGGGAGAAACTGCGAGAGAGACTGTGAAAGAGAGAGACTAAGAGAGGGAGAGAGAGATAGAAAGACTTAAGAGCGAGAATGAGAGAGAGAGACTGAGGGAGAGGCAGAGAGAGAGACTGTGAAAGAGACTGAAAGAGAGAGAGAAAGGGAGAGAGGGAGCGAGAGACATAGTCTTAAAGAACGACTGAGAGAGCTATTGAGAGAGACTGAAATACTGAGTGAGACGGAAATGGAGAGAGAATATATGTGTAGTGACTGTATGATTTGCAGGCGAGACAGTGAGAGACAGAGATAGTGACAGAAAGAGATTGACTGACTGTGAGAGAGAGATTGAGAGAGAGACAGAAAGAGACACTGATGGACACACAGAGAGAAAGAAAGAGACTGAGAAAGATTGATAGAGAGGGAGAGAGAGAGACTGAGAGAAAATATATTTTAAAGTGTAGCGAATGTTGTTTTTGGGGGAATCGTACAGAGTCAAAGAGGGAGAGAGAGAGAGTGATTGGGAGAAACTGCGGGAGAGATAGAGGTAGAGACTGAGGGAGAAAGTGACTCAGAGACCGAGTGAAAGAGAGACTGAGGAACAGCTTCAGAGAGCCCGAGAGATAGAGACTGAGACAGTGAGAGAGACTGTGATAGAGGGAGACTGGGAGAAAGAGAGAGACTGTGAGAGACAACATGTTATAATGTAGAGTGACTGTGTTTTGTGGAGAGGCAGAGAACGAAAATTACACAGAGAGAGAGAGTCTGTGAGACAAAGTGAAAGACGTAGAAGGAGACTGAGAGAGAGATGGAGAGAGAGTAAGAGAGACAGAGCGACAGACTGTGATGTGCCTGTGCGTGTGTGTGTGTGTCTGTCTGTGTGTGTGTGTGAATCTGTCTGTGTATGTGTGTGTGTGTGGTCTCTGTCTCTGACTGTGTGTTTGTGTGTCTGTCTGTTTATGTATGTCTGTGTGTGTGTGTCTGTTGTTAGAAACATTTGCAACTCTCTCCAACAATGTTAGAATGATGCGATTCCAGTTTATCAATTGGTTGACTTCAGTCACTTTATTCAGGTCAAAACAGCAGGAAATACACAAATAAATGAACCAATAAAATAACACACAAGACACAAAAGTACCGAGCGGATTCCTGTCACAGCACTGGTCGTGTCCCGCACTGCGCCGCTACCGTTCCCGAGAGATATCTAACACACATTTGTTTAAAGATAACTTAATAACTCCAGTAGAAGCTGTCTTTTTTAAGAAAAACAACTCCTTATGTGGTTATATCCATAATATGTTTCAATTCTCCCTTTAACCACATTTTATTCTCTCCTGATCAGTCCCTTCGTCCAGTGTGTAAGTGTGAACAGACTTTCTGTGTCCCTGTACGTCCTGACCTTATATTGCCATTGTATTGGGTTCTGCCTTCAGTTACTGAGCTTTGCAGCTTTTGCACTTTTATTTTAGATTCTTAAACCACACATTAACATTTACCCATGACAACACGGTGTGTATGTATGTATGTATGTATGTATGTATGTATGTATGTATGTATGTATGTATGTATGTGTGTGTGCGTGTGTCAGTGCATATGATTGTGTGTGTGTGTGTGTGCCTGTTTGCGTGTCTGTGTGTATGTGTGCGTTTGCCTGTATATGTGGGTCTGTGTGCTTTTGTGAGTGCTTTCGAAAGTGTGTGTGTCTGTGTGAGCGACTGTTCGTGTGTGTATTTGTTTCTGTGTTTGTGTTTGTGTGTGTGTTTTTCAGTATATCTATTTATATATAAATATTGTGTCTCGATGTGTTTATGTGTGTGTCTCTTTCTGTGTGTGTGTGTGTGGTTTCTGCGGTGTTTTTTGTGTCTCCGTGTGTATTTGTGTTCGACTGTGTTTGCTTGTGTGAACGATTGTTTGTGTGTGTGTGTTTGGTGTATGTATTTGTGTGACTTTGTGCTTGTGAGTGTGTGTGTGTCAGAGCCTTGGGACGACATGAAAAGCGATATACAACTGTAATCTTGTTGTTGTTGTGTGCGTTTGTGTATGTTCCTGTGAGTGTGTGCGATTGTGTGTGTGTTTGTGTGTGTTCCTGTGAGTGTGTGCGATTGTGTGTGTGTGTATCCCAGAGGATCGAGTTCAAGATCGTCGTCCTCACCTTTAAGGCCATCCATGGCCTCGCCCCCTCCTCCCCTCTCTGACCTGCTGACTCCCTACCAACCTGCCCGCTCCCTCCGTCCAGTGGGCTCCGGGCTGCTCCATGTCTCCCGCCCGACCCGCCCTCCCATCGGTGTCCGGGCTTTCAGCCTCTCTGCCCCACACTCTGGGACTCCATCCCACGGTCCCTTCCCCTCACTTCCTCTCTTGTCTCCTTCAAGGTCGGTCTCAAGACCCTTCTCTTCGATCGTGCCTTTGGTCTCCCTCCCACCTCTCTGCCTTCCCTCACTCCTACCCCACCCCTCCCCCACCCATCCCCCACCCATCGCCACCCCTCGCCACTCCTCCCCCACTCCTCCCCCACCCCTCCCCCATGCTCAGGCCCCGACACCTGACTGTTCAGCGCTTTGGGACGTCCTGCCGACGTGAAAGGCGCTCTGTAAATGCAATTTTATTGATGTTATTGTGTATTTGCGTGTGTGTGTGTGTTTGAGTGTGTGCGCGTGTTTGCGGGTGTGTCCGTAGTTGTGTCTGTGTGCTTGCACGTTTGTGTGTTTGGTTGTGTGTATGTGTATTTATGTTTGTGTGTTTTTCTGTGTGTGTTTGTGTGTGTGTGTTTGCGTATGTTTGTCTGTGTGAATCTATGTATGTGTTTTTATGGCTGTGTTTTTATTTGATTTTGTGTTTGTTTGTCTGTGTGTTTTTGAGTGTGTGTCTCATTGTCTTTATGTATGTTTCTATGCGTGTGTCTGATTGTGTGTTGTGTTTTTGTTTGTGCGAATTTGTGAGTTTGCTTTTTTGTGTGTCTTTGTTTGTGTGTGTATTTGTGTGTGTGTTTTCGCGTGTATGGTTATGTATGTTTGTGTATGTCTGTGTATGTGTATTTGTGTGTGTACTTGTGTGCTTTTTTCAGTGTGTGTGTTTACGTGTATGTTTGCGTGTGTTTGTGTGTGTGTCCGTTTGTTTGTGTTTCTGTGAGTGTGTGTGTGTGTTTCTGTTTGTTTCTCTGTGTATGTGTGTGTATCTCTGTGTGTGTCCATTCACGGCCATTCACGGCCTTGCTCCCTCCTACCTCTCCAACCTACTATCCCCCTACCTACCTGCCCGTACCCTCCGTTCCTCTGGCTCCGGTCTGCTCCACATCCCCCGCCCCAACCGCCCTACCATCGGTGGTCGGGCCTTCAGCCTCTCAGCCCCGAGGCTCTGGAACTCCATCCCCCAGTGCCTTCGCCGCTTCCTCCCTTTCCTCCTTCAAGGCCGGTCTCAAAACCTTTCTCTTTGACCTTCAGCCTTCAGCTCCCCTCTCGACTCTCTTCCTCCTCCTCGCTCCCTCCCTTCCCTCCCCTCACCCTGACCATTTCCCCCCTCCTCTCTCCCTCCCTTCCCTCCCCTCACCCTGACCATTTCCCCCCTCCTCGCTCCCTCCCCTCAACCTGACCATTTCCCCCCTCCTCGCTCCCTCCCTCCCCTCAACCTGACCATTTCCCCCCCAATGCTCGGGTCATGACCCAACTGTGCAGCGCCTTGGGACGTCCTCCTGACGTGAAAGGCGCTCTATAAATGGAATCTTGTTGTTGTTGTTGTTGTTGTGTCTGTATTTGTCTATTCGACATGTGTTTGTTTGTGTGTGTATGTGTGTGTGCTTGCATGAGTGTGTTTTCGTGTGTGTCTGTGTGTGTGTAAGTTGACGGTGGGTCATGTGTTTGTGTGTGTGTATATGTATGTATTTATGTGTGTGTGTGTGCCATTTTGTTTGTTTGTACGTGTGCTTGTGTGAGTGATTGTGCTTATGTTTGTGTGTGTGTGTGTTTGAGTGTGTGTGTTGGCGTGTGTTCGATTTTGTGTGTATGAGTTTTGAGTGCTTTTGTGAGTGTTTGTGCGTGTTTGTGTGAATCTGTGTGTGCGTGTGAGTTTGTGTGTGTATATTTTTGTGTGTACCTATGTATGTCTATTTATATGTGTGTGTTTGTTTGTACATGATGTGCTTCTGTTTGTGTTTGTGTGTATCTATGTATGTCTATTTATATGTGTGTGTTTGTTTGTATGTGATGTGCTTCTGTTTGTGTTTGTGTGTTTTGGAGTGTATCTCTGTACGTTTGTATGTTTGTGGGTGTGTGTGTGTGCGTGTTTGTCAGTCTGTTTTCGTGTACGTTTGTATGTGTTTTTCTGTGTGTGTGTATTTGTGTGTGTTTGTGAATGTTTACGTATGTTTGTGTGTGTATGCGTGTTTGTGTGTGTGTTTGTGTGCGGTTGTGTTTGTGTGGATATGTGTGTGCGTTTGTGTGAATGATTGATTGTTTGTGTGTGTGTTTGTGTGAATGATTGATTGTTTGTGTGTGTGTTTGTGTTTGGTTGTGTGAGTTTCTGTGTGTGTGTTTGCGTACGTATGTGTTTGCGTGGGTGAGTTTCTGGGTGTGATTGTGTATGTCTCTGTGTGAGCGCGTTTGTGTGAGAGTGGTTGTGTGTTTGTTTATCTGCGTGTGTGAGTGTGTGTATTTATGTGTGTATGTGTGTGTCTGTGTGCGCGTCTCTCTGTTCATGTGACTCTGTTTGTGTGTGTTTGTGTGTATATTTCTGTGGGTCATGTGTTTGTGTTTGTGTGTATTTGTGTGTGTGAGAGTAAGTGTGTATCTGCGGCGATGTTTTTGTCTGTGTTTGTGTGTGTTGGTGTGTGTGTGTGTTTGTGTGTATGAACTCCTACAACCTGTCCGGCATCAAACAAACTGTGAGTGACAGTGGGTTATACCCACTGTGTTTACTCTGATCCCTGTCATGTCTCTGTGTCTCTGATCTCCAGGTTGGACAGTAACAGACTGACCGATGGCTGCACTGATGCTCTGGTCTCCGCTCTCAGTACAAACCGCTCACTGAGGATCCTGAACCTGAGGTCTAACTCCTTCACAGACGGCTCTGTCTCCGCTCTCCGCCGCCTCATACAGACCTGCACCAGTCTGGGGGACATCAGGTGAGTGTTTGTGTCAGTGTTTAATGTGATAAACACACAGAGAAAGGGCTGCGTATCAGAATGGGAACAGTTTGAAGGGATTTATTTATTTATTAAACTGCGACACGAACAGTTTACAGTTTGTACCATTATCCCGTGGGTTTATTTCCTGTTTAATGTGTTTCAGGCTGTGGGGGAATGGGTTCAGTTCAGACGGAGAGAATCAGCTGAAGTCACTGGAGGGAATCAGAGCTGAGCTGTCAGTGTTAGTGTGACACTGACTGAGGCAGTGACTGTCCACACAGTCTGTGTAATATGGAATATATTCTGTGCACTGTAGTGACTGATTATTAAAGATGTTGATCCTGATTCCTCTCCCATCTCTGCTCTGGGGACCGTTATTGACACACACCGCCTACGGCCGTGCGGGCGGCTGGAGAGCCCCGACCCTCAGTCACTGCTAAACTGCTGTAAGCGACCACAACTGATGCACTTTCTCTCACAGTCTCTCTCTCTCTCTCTGTGTGTGTCAGTCCCTCTCAGTTTATATATTTCCGTCTCCCTATTTCAGGCTCTCTCTTTCGTTGTCTTTCTTAGTCTCCATCTCTCTCTCTGTCTCTCTGTGTGTGTGTGTATTTGCCTCAGTCAGTGCGTGTCTGTGAGATTGTGGGCGAGAGAGCAGTCACTCTGTGTGAGAGAGAGAGAAGTTAGTGTGCGAGAGAGATTGAGAGCAGTCACTGTGTGTGTATGTGTGTGAGAGAGAGCAGTCAGTGTGTCTGTGTGTGTGGGGGGGAGAGCAGTCAGTGGGTGTGTGTGAGAGCAGTCAGTGTGTGTGTGAGCAGTCAGTATGTGTGTGTGTGTGAGCAGTCAGTCTGTGTGTGTGAGAGAGCAGTCAGTGTGTGTGTGTGAGCAGTCAGTGTGTGCGTGTGTGAGAGAGAGCAGTCAGTGTGTGTGTGTGTGAGAGCAGTGTGTGTGTATGTGAGAGCAGTCAGTGTGTGTGTGTGTATGTGAGAGTAGTCAGTGTGTGTGTTTGAGAGCAGTCAGTGTGTGTGTGTGAGAGCAGTCAGTGTGTGTGTGGGAGAGGAGTCAGTGTGTGTGTGTGTTTGTGGGAGAGCAGTTAGTGTGTGTGTGTATGTGAGAGCAGTCAGTGTGTGTGTGTATGTGAGAGCAGTCGGTGTGTGTGTGTGTATGTGAGAGCAGTCAGTGTGTGTGTGTGCAGTCAGTGTGTGTGAGAGAGCAGTCAGTGTGTGTGTGTGTGTGTGAGAGAGCAGTCAGGGTGTGTGTGTGAAAGAGAGAGAGCAGTCAATGTGTGTCTGAGATCAGTCAGTGTGTGTGTGTGTGTGTGTGAGTGCGAGAGAGCAGTCAGTGAGTGTGTGTGTGAGGCATTCAGTATATGTGTGGGAGTGCAGTCAGTGTGTTTGTGAGAGAGAGCAGTCAGTGTGTGTGAGAGAGCAACAACAAGATTCCATTTATAGATCAGGAGTACGTCCCGAGGCGCTGTACAGTTGGATCCGGATCCGAGCATTGGGGGAAATGGTCAGGGTGAGGGGAGCGAAGGGAGGGAGCGAGGAGGGTGTAGAGAGTCGAGAGGGGAGCTGAAGGCTCTGTCAAAGAGAAAGATCTTGAGACCGGCCTTGAAGGAAGAAACGGAGGAAGCGGCGAAGGCACTGGAGATGGAGTTCCAGAGCCTCGGGGCTGAGAGGCTGAAGGCCCGACCACTGATGGTAGGGCGGTTGGGGCGGGGGATGTGGAGCAGACCGGAGCCAGAGGAACGGAGGGTACGGGCAGGTAAGTCGGGGGATAGTAGGTTGGAGAGGTAGGAGGGAGCGAGGCCGTGAATGGCCTTGTAGGTGAGGATGAGGACCTTGATTTGGATCCTCTGGTGAATGGGGAGCCGGTGGAGGCGAGCGAGGGCGAGGATGGGAGTGATGTGGTCGCGAAGCCTGGTGCGGTACAGTACCCAACTCATCCCACTTTCCCCTTCTTACCCCAAGTAGTCCCCCTGCTGTTACCCCAAATATTTCCACTCCCCTGCTCTCACCCCAACCAGTTCCACTCACACAGCTCTTACCTACCAATATTTCCCCCTCACGCACACTTACCCCAACTCCATCGCCACCATCCTCGCCCAACTCCACCGGCTTCCCATTACATAGAGGATGCGGTTCAATATCCTGGTCCTCACCTTCAAAGCCCTTCATGGCTTGCTCCCCACCCCCCTACCTCTGTGACCTCCTAACCCCCTACCAAGCTGTACGCTCCCTCCTCTCCAACAGCTTCCAACCTGCTTCACGTGCCCCGCCTCGCCCGCCCCATCAAAGGCGGTTGGTCCTGCAGCTCCATCCTACAGTGCCTCCGCCTCAATCATCCCCTCCTCACCTCCTTCAAGGTACATCTCAAGACACTCCTCTTCGACCGACGGCGCTTTTGGTCACCCTCCTACCCCCACCTCTCAACCCTCCACTCCTTCCTGATCCCAACGCCCAGCTCGGGTCCAAATCCCCGACTCTCTCGGTCTCTCTCTCTCTCTCTCTCTCAGTCTGTCTCTCTCAGTCTCTCTCTATCTGCCTCCATCCCTCGGGGCCAAATCCCTGACTGTGCAGTGCCTTGGGACGACCTCGTCATGTGAAACTCAGGCGCAGCAGAAAATGTTTGTTGTTCTTGTTGCGAAACGCGGCAGCCGATTGCGCCCAGCGACGCCCCCACAAACAGCCGGGGGTTGAAGTGACCAAATTATTATTATTATTCCGAAGGGATTATTACCCCCGGAAAGTGATCTGATGATTCCATTTTGAAGACGGAGAAAGATGCTAAGATCCGGGTGATGTTGAGCTGAGCTCCGCCCCCTCCAACGCCGCCCCTCGCGGGCCGAGCAGGTAAAACGCAACTTTATAATAATAATAATAATCCTTGCATTTGATAAAGCGCTTTTCACGTCGGGAGGACGTCCTAAAGCGCTTCACAGAACACACTGGAAAGAGAAGTGACTGTATATTTCTGGGAGAACGCGGCAGCGAATTGCGCACAGCGATGTCCCACAAACAGTCGTGAATTGAAAATGACCGATTTATTATTGTTTTTTGTTTTTTTGGAGGGATTATTATTAGGGCTCTGTGTGGAGTAAGGAAACTTGGCCAAGGCTTCCTGCTGACCTGCCTGGAATTGAACTCAGGTCTCTCGTTTGCAAAGCGAGTGCTTTACACATCCTAACAGCCACAATGCCTTCCTTTACCAAGATGGCCGCCACCGTCTCCCTCACTCAGACGTTATCAGTGTCGTCCCTGACCAAGATGGCCGCCGCCGCAGACCCTGACCAAGATGGCCGACACCGGCTTATACCTTACTAAAATGGCCGCCGCCGTCAGCCTTTGCCAAGATGGCCGTCAGTGGCTTCCCTTACCAGTGTGGTAGTTGCCCACTTTACCAAGATGGCCGCTCAACCCCCCTAAAGCCTGTCACGGTTCCGGTGGCTTTTGAAAATGGCGGGAGCCGCGGAGATTCGTCTCTGAGAAACTGAGAGACAGAGAGAGAGAGGTCAGAGAGAGATGTGTTCAGCGGGGAAGGAGGCCATTCCGACCATTGCGCCTGAGCTTTAGTTACCCGCTCCCTCCCCGACCTTCCCCCGCACACCCACCATCACGCACCGCCCCATCCTCGGTCGCATGATAATGCGTCCGTCCTCTTGACTTCTCGGGGGTTAGCAGGTGGCGGGGGTGTTGGTAGGGGATAAGAAGGGGCGGGGGGATGGTTGGGAGTTAGGGGTGGTGCGTGGGGGTTAATAGCGGGACAGGAGTGGGCGGGTGGGGGTTTGGGGCTCTTGGTGTGTGTTAGGAGGCAGCGGGAGAGGTTGGTAGGGGGTTAGGAGGGGGAGTGAGGGTTTCGTAAAGGGTTAGGAGGCGGCGGGTGTGTTGGTAGGGGTTAGGAGGGGGCGGCAGTGTTGGTAGGGTGGTAGGAGGGGGCGGGGCTGTTGGTAGGGGGTTAGGACGGGTTTGGGGTGTTGGTAGGGGTTTAGGAGGGGCGGGGGTGTTGGTAGGGGGTTAGGAGGGGGCGGGGGGTTGGTAGGGGGTTAGGAGGGGGCGAGGGTGTTGGTTGGGGTTAGGAGGGGGCGGGGGTGTTGGTAATGGGTTAGGAGGGGGCGGGGGTGTTGGTAATGGGTTAGGAGGGGGGGGGTGTTGGTAATGGGTTAGGAGGGGGGGGGGGGTGTTGGTAATGGGTTAGGAGGGGGCGGGGGTGTTGGTAATGGGTTAGGAGGGTGGGGGTGTTGGTTGGGGGTTAGGAGGGGGCGGGGGTGTTGGTAGGGGGTGAGGAGGGGGCGGGGGTGTTGGTAATGGGTTAGGAGGGGGCGGGGGTGTTGGTAATGGGTTAGGAGGGGGCGGGGGTGTTGGTAATGGGTTAGGAGGGTGGGGGGTGTTGGTTGGGGGTTAGGAGGGGGCGGGGGGTTGGTAGGGGGTGAGGAGGGGGCGGGGGTTTGGCAGTGGGTGAGGAGGGGGCGGGGGTTTGGCAGTGGGTGAGGAGGGGGCGGGGGTGTTGGCAGTGGGTGAGGAGGGAGCGGGGTTTGGCAGTGGGTGAGGAGGGAGCGGGGGGTTGGCAGTGGGTGAGGAGGGAGCGGGGGGTTGGCAGTGGGTGAGGAGTGGGCGGGGGTTTTGGTAGGGGGTGAGGAGGGGGCGGGGGTTGGCAGTGGGTGAGGAGGGGGCGGGGGGTTGGTATGAGTTTAGGAGGTGGGCTCTGGGAGAAGGACATTTGGAGACGGGGTATAACGAGCGCTGCTCTCGGGAGAGCAAAACAAGAGCAGTGCGACTCCAAGAGGGAGACAGTGAGTCCCGGATCAGAGATCAGAGGGTCACCATAAGTGTGTGAGTCTATCACTGAGCTTCTGGGGCTCCAGAGAGGAAAGAACAAGAACGGCTGCGGCTGATTCCTTTACACCGGTAGTGTGAGTATCTCTTAACTGCTGTAACCCGTGTGTTTTTAGTCTAATATAGTCAATTATAATCGCTCTACTTTGATATAATCATCGGATTCTGC